GGAGGAGCGCGACAATGAGTGAAGCAAATGGGTTGTGAATCTCCTCCCATCTGGTCATTGTGGAATATGTCGTTGAGTTCATCGCTGAAATACCCTTTCCTGAACACATGATTGACTTTTAGTTGTCCTTGTTTCGAATTTTCGCCGAGGTGAACGAACGTTTGGAAGGCTTAACACTGGAGGAAATGAAGAGACATCCACTATTTGAGTTGTACAGTTTCGGCTATCATCTGCTGAAACGGTCAGTTTTATTTGTTCCTTACAGTATAACCTTCATTTGTGATTGGATACAATTTAATGGTGTTTAAGCTTCTTCTTGTGCTATGAAAAGTGTGGAGAGAAGCTTGCGCCCGAGATTCTTTTTTGGAAAGGTCCCAAGGAATGTTATGAAATTGAGAATGGCGACGGTTACGAGTGAGTCTAAACGTCTATGCTGACTCCTTTTTGTGACTTTACATGGAGAACGGTTTCTTTGAAGAGAATCGAAGAATCAAAAAGACGCTTATTCATGGAGTGAAGAACTGGAGAATGAGCTCCGTTCACTTTATAACGAATACCGGGACATGGATGAGAGACCTGAAGGTATGGCTTAGTTCTTCATTGTTTTTTTTTCTCGGTTATTCATTCATCGACGTTGGAAATAGAGATTGTTCTTCTTTTTCAGGAATGGACGTGCTTGATTTTATCGAGCCAAATCTTAGTCGCCCGCGGACTCGTAAACAGATTCTGAAGAAGATGAAGGAGTTCGCTCTAGATCCGCTTGGAGCAAAAGCTAATAAAGGGTAGGTTCTATTTTGAGTCACTATTCATTATTTATTGGGATCGGCAGCTTTGTCAATTGATTGAAATGAAGCTCATTTCAGTCATTATTTGTTGACTGCATTTTTGGCCTCACCTCAGAAAGTCGTCAGCAAAACGCAAAGACTGAAAGAGATTCACATCATCCAGTTGTCAAGAAAAAGTCATGCAAGGGAGCCCAAAAACCCTGTTGTTGAAAGATAATCGGCAGCGAAGCAGCGCATGACGTTGGCTGGCAGATTTTACAAGACTGCCTGAGTAGCAAGATCTCAAGCCGCGCGCGGAGATCGAACCTTGTGCTGGACCTTTGAGGCGGCCAGTGAAAAGGAAGCTCGTTCGGACTATGGTTAGTTCAGAGAGTCGGATAATGATTCGCAATTTCCCGATTATTAGAGCAAAGGAGCTTATTGAGCAGTACAATGCGTTGCCAGAGAAAAATGGTGAGGTTTTTTATTGAATCTCTACAATATGAAATATTACTGAGCTTTCCAGAAGACATGGTTGACTTCATAATACGGCACGCAACTTCTGGCTGAAGACCATAGTGAATCTCTAGCAGAATTGTGTCAGGACAGACTCAAGTTATCTGGGGATTGCTTTACCGGAGAAAAGAAGCCAGTGTAAATACTTTTTTTTGACTACTTTTATTTGTTTCAACTAAAGAAAGGGTTAACGTGGGTCGATTGTGATGCATGTTTTCTTGATGAACACCAGTGGAGCTGCGTGCACTTTTGCTCTTCCGTACTTCCGCTGTTAGAGGTACAGAGATCATGGGCGGGGTTACTTGGTCCGCATCGCCCTCTCTCATTGGCTTTTTCCCTCCTTAGTGCCAACTGTGTGGCCCGCCAGCGAGAAGGGCGCAGTTTTCCAAGTAACTCGCCCATGGAATTAGCGTAGAGTGTGCATTTGCACAACAATTCTAATGGACTCTAGTTCGCTGCGGACGGTTGGGCGTGTCAGGCAGTATGAGTGTGTCACGCCGTCAAAGCCGTTCTCTGCCTTCGTTGAAGCGCGCATGCGACAAAAAGTGGTAGAAAACGAGTAATACGAACGATATGATACAGTCATATCATTGCTCGCTTTAACAACTGGTGGAGAACGGGTTTGGCACCGCGCCAAACTCATCCCGCCTGACACGCCCAACCGTCTGCAGCGAACTACACTATATATTGCAGCGAGTTTTCAGTCGTATCGTAAACGTTCATAGCTACACATTCTTGTGCTGGTTCTTACGGATCGCTTAAACTTTTCAGGTCGAAGAGTCACAAGTGGTCAGATGGTCTACGGGTTGAGCTTTCTGCTCTCAAGGAGCAGTATGATGAGCTGGATGCAGAAGATCGTGAGCTTGGTATGTACCCATTTCGATTCTGAACTTTTGAATTGTGTTCATAAATGACTAGTTCAACATCTCTTGGTTATTTGTTAGGGTGAATTTTCTCAAATCGTACAATTTCAGTGGATCTGGTTGATTATTGTATGCGGCGGTTGAGTGAGAAGAAGCCGAGACGGCAGGTTGAGCAGGAGCTTGTAGCACTTGGAGCTGCTCTGAAACCAAAAGAAGAAGAAGCGGACATCAATGTAAGCTCGATTATTGAAGTGCACATAAGCTCTATCAAGAGGTTTGGATAACAATGTGATTCTTTTCAAGATTGAAGTCCAGGAGTGCAAGTCCAAGTGGTAGTGAAGTTGACGATGACATTGAGCCTGGAAG